TTTTTAGTTAAAATGCAAATTAATATTGTCTTTTTATAATTTCATAAGTATTTTTAAATTAAAAGTTTTTTCCTAATTCATATTTTAATTTCTTATACTTCAAAATGACAACTTATTATTTAAATTAATTCATTTCTTATGTTTTAATTTTTAATCTTTTGATGAAAAAAATATTTTAGTTTCATAATTTTTTAATTATTTTTTAGCAAAATATTTTTTATTTATACATAATTCTTAAATATAATAATTGTACAATAAAATTTTCTATTTTGAGAGGGATACATAATCCCTCACAGATTGTGATGGAATACAATTTTTAAAAATTTTCCGTCACAGAATCCGTCACAAAATTATTCATTAAATTTTGTGACGGATTTTTGTGACGAAATATTTAGAGAGGAATCCAAATCTGTCACTAAATTCGTCGCAAAATTTTTTTTTTATTAGTAACCCCATTTGTGACGGAATTGTTAGAGACGGAAATTTTTCCGTCACAAACTCTAAAAATAAGTAGTCCGTCACAAACATAAAATTTCCGTCACAAAATTCGTCACTATTAGTGACGACATTTTATCCGTCACAAATTTTCGTCACAAATTTTAATTTTTTTATTAGTGAATATTAGGTTACTATACATATTTATGTACTTATATAGTTAGTATATTATTTCAATTGTTAAACTTTTGCATATGTATATAATATGACATGTATATTTAGGTTTTGTGTATGTTAATCATAAATAATTTATTTATATTTTTACTACTAATAGTTAAACAGTTAAGTGTAGAGATTATAATGTATCATTACAATTACAACCATATTTAAGATATTTTGTTATACTTAAAGTGATTTCTAAATCACCACAAAATGATAAAATTAATTTAAAAAAAATATGTAATCAATTAAAATCTTTTGTTGGAACAATTATAAAAAATATTTTTATCATAAAAATGTTTATAATATTTTTTATTTTTTATTTCTCTCTACTCTATTTATTTTCTATTTCTCTTCAACAAAATAATTAAACTTTTATTTTATTTCTTAATTATTTCTACTCAATTATTTATCTTTTATGTATATCTCTTTACTCTATTTTTTATTAATTTCTTTTCTTTCTACCCAACACATCTTAACTTTTTTTTCTATCCTTTACAGCTTGACCTCATTTGTGTTTTACTCATGTCTTTTTCATTTCACATTGTTTTTCCACACCATCTTTGTTATGGCTATCCCATTTCATCTAGTGCATGCAGATTCCAATGACACCATTATTCTGTTTTTTTTTTTTTTACTTCTTCTCTCTATGTTTTATCAACCATTGACAAACCCGTATATCATGTTTGTTCCAACCGATATGTTCGAGCCAATTTTGATAACTCTACCTACAAGTTTATAAATGATAAATTATAGGAATTGGTAATGAAAAGAAATACCAGTTTACCAAATTATAGATTGATATTTTATTGCATTAGAGGAATCGTATTAACTTGTTTCATTCATTACTTTACAGTATGAAACAGTTGGATTAAGAAATGGAAACATGCTATCGTTTGATAATCAGCTAACAACCAAGAATAATTTAAAGAAAAGGAAAAAAAAAATTGTTGTGACAAGTTGATATATGAAAATCAGTAGATAGAGTTTTTCCAGCATGAGTAGTTGTCATTTATTCCCGTTGTCTTAAGACCTTATTTAAGTTATATTTACTAGCAAGTTGGACGGAATACTTTTAATAAATTTACAAAATATTTAATTACTGTAGGCATTAATTTTATTTGTTATCTATTTAAATATTATTCATATTATACATTAATCTGGTCCACTTTTTATTGTAATATATAATCAGATCAATCTACAATCATATCAATTATAATAATATCATCAGATTTTACTATAATAAACGTGTTACTATAATAATAAAATAAATTAATGAGAACATGCTGCACCGACTAGATTTTAAGGTTTGGAGTTTGGACGGTGCACTTCATTGGCACTTTAGCGCTTTATAATTCAATGTTAAAATAATATTATAACAATTTCTAAATAAATTAAACTAAATATTATACACAATGTAGAATGTAAGATATGTATAATGTACAGTACACTTGACAGGTGACTTGTTATACAATTTTAATTATAATTATTTTTTAATTAATTATCGATATTAACATAAAAATAACTTGTAAATATACTAAAAAGTAATTAAAATAGTTTTTTTACACCATTAAATTATGTAAATATCATTTTAATTATTAAATAAAAGAATTCATCAAAATCAGTTATAACAAATAAAATTTTAAAACCCGAAAGTATAAATAAATTAATATTATGAAATAACATTTTGAATTTTATAATATTAAAATCAGTTTTTAAAAATATAAATACTTTTTTTTATTATTTTTGAAAGGCTTATTTCATATATGACAAGAAAGAAATTATTTTCAATACTTAAAATGCTATTTATAAAAAAATAGTTTAATGTATATATGTTGCTAATATTTTTTTAGTTTAATTTTTTAGTTTTACACATATTATGATTTGTCTATATATATTTTTTAAGGTATTTGAAGCATTTTACTTTTGTTAAATCAATATTAAAACTTCATTTTGTCATAATTATGAGTATATAATTTCTAATTTTATCAAAAATAAAACTTTTTTGGAACATAAATTTTATTAGTAATTTTCATCATATTCAGATAATTATATAATTATTTTATTTACATTTTATTATTATTTTATACTTAAAAAATTAAATAATTCTCACTACAATAGTTCTGTTCATGCACGGCACTCTTTCGGTCTTTCTAGTTTCCTTAATAATAATACCTCATTAATAAACTTTAAACGTTTCTTATTCTTCACACACACTCTTGGCATTAATATTTATCTGTTCTTGTCTTCTTTTTTACATTTTCTCTCAAGTTTCCTTCCATTTTCTTTTTCATTAATACAATTTAAATTTTTAATCTTTTGTTTTTTTCCTGTCGATTATGTTTTCTTTCACATACGAAACTCATGCTATGGTAAGACTTCACCTTCAACACATTCAACAGACCCACAAAGGTGTTTATAATAATATATAAATAGTAAGTGCATCTCATAATTCACCGATACACATTGGATCCATTGCAGACAATTTCCAACACCCAAAATGAGTTCCCATTCGGAAGCACCCAAACTCAACTTTGTTCTGTTTCCTCTCATGTCCCAGGGCCACATGATCCCCATGATGGACATAGCAAAAATCCTGTCTCAGCAGGGTGTCACCGTCACAGTGATCACCACACACCACAACGCATCACGTTTTGCATCAACTTTTGCTCGCTCCACCGATTCAGGGTCTCAAATCAGATTAGCAGAAGTGCAATTCCCATATCAAGAAGCTGGCTTGCCAGAAGGGTGTGAGAATCTTGACATGTTACCCTCCTTAGGCACTTCCTTGAGCTTCTTCAATGCAGCAAACAGCACCACCTTGAAGGAACAAGTGGAAAAGCTCTTCCAAGAGTTGAATCCTCCACCAAGCTGCATAATTTCTGACATGTGTTTGCATTACACAGCCACTATTGCCATCAAATTCAACATCCCTAGGATATCCTTCCTAGGGCAAAGTTGCTTCAGTCTCTTCTGTTTGTACAACCTTGGCATCCACAGAAGTGTTCTCTCAAGCATAGCCTCAAAAACTGAGTACTTTGTTTTGCCTGGTTTACCTGACAAGGTTGAGATGACCAAGGCTCAGCTTCCAGGGAAAAGATCAAGTGAAGAGTGGAAAGAGTTCTATGCAGGAACTGCTGCTGCTGAAGGGGTTTCTTATGGGGTGATTATGAATTCCTTTGAGGAGTTGGAGCCAGCATATGCAAGAGGCTACAACAAGGCAAAGAATGGTAAGGTGTGGTGTGTTGGTCCTGTTTCACTCAGCAACAAGGGTGAGTTAGAAAAGGCTGAGAGAGGGAACAAGGCCTCAATTGACGAGCACTATTGCATGAAGTGGCTTGATTTGCAGAAACCAAGGGGTGTGATCTATGTTTGCCTTGGAAGCATAAGTAACATGACTTCAGTGCAGTTGGTAGAGCTTGGTTTGGCCTTGGAAGCCTCAAATAAACCCTTCATTTGGGTCATCAGGGAAGGGGATCAATTAGAGGCGTTGGAGAAGTGGATCAAGGAAGAGGGGTTTGAGGAAAGGACCAAAGGTAGAAGCCTTGTGATTCGTGGTTGGGCTCCTCAGGTACTAATTTTGTCACACCCTGCAATTGGAGGCTTTTTAACACACTGTGGTTGGAACTCAACTTTGGAAGCTATATGTGCTGGTGTGCCGATGGTTACATGGCCTCTTTTTGGTGACCAGTTTTTCAATGAGAAGCTGATTGTGCAGATATTAAGAGTGGGAGTGAAGATTGGGGTGGAGTTTCCCTTGGAGTGGGGTGAGGAAGCGGAAAAGGGACAGTTGGTGAAGAGAGAAGATGTTGAGAGAGCAATTAATGAGTTGATGGATGAGAGTAGGGAGAATGAAGAAATGAGAGAAAGAGTTAGAGAACTTGCAGAGATGGCTAAGAAAGCTGTAGAGGAAGGTGGATCTTCTCACTCCAGTGTGACACTCCTTATCCAAGATATCATGCAACAAAGCAAGACATAAATGAATGATCTTTCTCCCTTGGTGAAATTAGATTGGTACTCAAATTACTCATCATATGTTCTGTTCCTTCCCTAGATTTTTTCACACCAATGAATTATATTCCATTCCATTAGATCATGAATCAATTGCAGAAAATTATTGAGCACGTATGTATTCTGTATTTTTATATAACTCTTTCTTGTTGGGTTGACCTATTTTAGAAGTAAACTTATATTTTCGATTGTGACTTCGTACTCAAAGCAGGGATCATATCCCTATCCTCCATTGTAAAACACAAGTGCCAAATCAATTATGCTTTCGATATTGAACATGAATTATTGTGCCTTATACAGTGTGGGCCTGGGCACAAAAGCTATAGTTCACAGGCAGAGTTCATGCCTATGGTGTTGAGGTCCTTTTGGTTTTCAAATTATGGAATTTTGTTGAATGTATTCTTAACATTTCAACTGGTCAACACTTTCTTGCAGATTCCTCGTCAGATACACATTCTGGAGTACTTAGTTAGATTGCCCAATTTCACTGCAAATAGTTTACAGAAGAGGGAAATGGAGGGAAAACAATTTTCAGATGGTACACTGTCCAATTTAGCTATTCCCAAGAGCATAGATCAGTGTGTTCATCTGAATTTTCTGATGTTCTGGTTAAGGAAGTCTTTTGAAGAAAGAAGCACCAACTCTTCTAAAGATTTTCACAAGGCTCTAAAACAAGTATGTTTTGATCTAAAACGGAAATTTGATATGTTTTGAATCCCCTACATCTTACAATTTCATTCCCCAGGATCTTGTATTCCATTTGTCTATTTTTTTTCTTTACCACTAGAGACTATTTCATTTTTCCTCTCATTTGGTATAATACCAGGCCTTACCGAGAAAGAAACAACTTGGTTCTTGCAGAACATTGAGTTCTGTTAGCCGTTCTCATCGCAATCAGCAAAATCATTCATGTGGTATGTCCTTCCTGATTTCTTCAGTGAATCATGTTTTAGACCGAAAGACACACAGATAAGGATAGGAAACTAATGTATCACCGAAACATGTTTTAGGCAGAAAGGCACATAAACAAGAATAGGAAACTAATGTATCACCGAAACATGTTCTAGACAGAAAAGCACATAGATAAGGATAAGAAACTAATGTATTACAAAATCTTACGTTTGCTTAATCATATTCGATAAAGAAGTTTGGTTAAAACAGTTCCATTTAATGAATGAATGGATTTGCTATTTTAACCAGCTCTGGTGTGCTCTATTCTTGTGCAATTAAAACTTCCTTTCATAAAGATTCTTGTTGATTGGATTATTTTTTTAGTCAATTTAGTCCATCGATATATTCAAAATGTTTCCAACGCATTTCAAATATTATATACCACTACATGGAATAACTTTATTGGATGAATTCTTCACAAAACACATCATTGATGCAGTACATATATCATTCATTACACATGTCATAATACAATATTCCTCTTTTAAATAGAGTCTTAGTAAGTTGTGCTGGTGCATTTTTCAACCTCAATTATTGAACTTTTTAGGACTCCGTTGTGTCATACCTTTGATGCCACTGTGTGATTTATTTGATTTGTTTCTCCCATGCCCATTATTTTTTATTGATTTATGATTTGAAATTTGAACAGATAGAAGGACTTCATGCAACTCAAGCGCTACAGTAGATGATTTTCTATTAAGGGGACTTCATGTATATGTTAGAATTTTGAAGCACTAGTTAGTTCTCGAATTTTTACCATAATATAATATATTTATATTTTTAAAAAAAATTGTTTCTACTAGTAGTCATTATTTAATATCACTGTTTAGGTATTGGTTAGTCTTATTTATTTCATTACTATATGTAAAAATCGTATCTCGATGTCGAGGAATCAGATTATATAATAAATGTTTCATTAAAGATGTTGGAGTTATTTTATGGTATTTGTTTGAGGGGATATTTTATGAGGGTTGTTTTTATAAGCTTATTACACAAGCATACTTCACAATGATGAGATATTGTCTGTTTTGGGCCTAAGTCCTTACAGTTTTGTTTTTGGTTATTACCTAAAAGGCCTCTCAATCATTGAAGTATGTTTGTATTATATAAGTTGTTATTTTTTGTCTTATTTTATCGACGTAAGACTTGTTTGTATACCAACAAAAGCAATGTTATTAACTTGTTTGGACAGTGTGAAGGAATCAGATTATAATAGAGAAATGTATCTCAATGTGAAGGAACAAGGTATCCATTTTTAATTTTTTATTATTTGCTATAAAATTGTACATGTATAACATAAGACATAGCATGCGGTTGCTGTTTAGTTATTGGTAATTGTATATCAGTTATTTTCTTATTTTTAATTATATTTTAATCATGGAGACAATTTATAATAATGCAAATGTACATAGTAAGAAAATAAGAAAATTTTAAAATTTTGTGGAGGCAATTGCTACCTGTGCCCCTAAAATGTTTCTGTTTAATAATATTTTTTTTATATATATACTTTTTTTTTAGATATTTTTAATTATTAATTAAATTTTATTAAAATTATAATATCCGGTGAGTTAATTTTTTAACTTTAATAAACTTTAATCAACAATAAAAAAATTTATATCAAAAAAGTATGTGTCCAATGTTACCTGATAAAGATGTTTTATTTAACGCATGAACTTTTTATCGTTAATATCATTTATTTTGAAATTTCTGAATGAATTTTTCTAAAAGTATTTTTAAAAAATATTTTTTATATAAATTAAAATTAGTTTATGTATAAATTAAAGTGATAATTTTTTTTTTTGAAGAAACTATATAAAAGAGTTTTTACAAATTAGCTTATCTATAAATTATTTTTCAAGTGTACTGTATCGGCAAATAACCGACTAGGCAGTTAGGCCCTAAGCCCTCTCGCCTCACGGGCTCAGGGCTGGAAGGCAAGTGTACTGTATCGGCAAATAACCGACTAGGCAGCCAGGCCCTAAGCCTTCTCGCCTCACGGGCTCAAGGCTGGAAGGCAGTGTACTTTCTCGGTAAATAACCGACTAGGCAGCCAGGCCCTAAGCCCTCTCGCCTTACGGGCTCAGGGCTGGAAGGCAAGTGTACTGTCCAGGTAGTAGTCCGACATGACCTTCGTATCGGAAATAGGACGATCATAACCTACCACTTCGCTTTAATCCGAATCTCTCGCCTGGGAGGGAGGACACTCGGTGTTAACCCGACTAAAGCTCAATCAGGATGCAGTCGGTCTAAACCTGACTACGTCCAGGCCCAGTACAATTCCACTCATCGAGAAAGGCACTCGGCATATTACCGACCTAACCTCTCGGTAAGGGGGTCTAGTCGATCATAACCCGACTCGACCTGACCTCACTCATCCCACTCCATCAAGGTAAAGACAGTTAAGGAGATCCCTTGATTCTCGGGGCCCAAGCGGCCCATGAACGAAGTACAATAAAACCTAAAACCCTAGAGCTGGTGAGACAGATTACACTTTTGAATGCTCTGGCTTTGAGGCTTGACCTAGGAAAAAACCCTAGCGCACCCCTTGGTCGGAACACAGTACTAAATTTGGTTATTTTCATAAGATTCTTTCTAAATTATTTTTATTATAAATATATTAAAAAGAAAGTCTTGTAACTTAAAAATCGTGCATTAAAGGAGAGATAGTTAAGATAATATATCATTAAAGAATGTAAAAGTAGTAAAATTTACTTATATTTAAAAATAAAAAATATTTTTTTTAATAGAAGAGTAGCTTATAAAAATCTTTATCTCATTTTTTTCCTAAAAATGTTTTTAAAAAAAATTGTCCAAATAAATCCTAAACACTATGAGGGTGAGAAAGTGACGCAACTAATTAAGTTAGATGAGATGAAATCTATACTAATATATAAAGTAAGTATCATTTTTAATAATTACCTTTAGTTTTTGTATTTGATAAATCATTATATCCTTTTATTATTAAAAGTTTTAAAAAAATTAATATTTTTTTAATAAATATTATTCTCATTTATTAACTATTCACTTTATTATTTTCATTATTTAACTATTTTCATTACTTAATCTCAATTTTTATTTTATTTTTAATTTTTTAAATAATATATAAAGGCATGGAGTTTATCGTTGAACCCATGGTCATCCTCTTTTTTGCAATCAGAATACATGTTACAATTTCACAATCTTATTGTGTCATAATGAAGAGAAGTTTTGAACTTGGGTATTATAGATGGGAAAGGGAAAAAATAACATTGGGAGAGATCTCATTAAAAGTATTTTTTTTCAACAAATATTAGTCATTAAAAAAATTGATAGATACTTTGTATAAATAATATAAATATAAAATGAAAACAAAGACCATTCACAAAGTATCTATTGATCGTTGTTATTAAAATAAAATTTATCATTAAAATTGTCAAAAAAAAATTGTGAGTGAGATATACATAGATAAAATCTACTATGGGTAAAAAATGATATTGTAAATGGATACTCACGAATAACAAATACGAGTATTTTCTATACTCTTATATTAACAGTGTAGGTACGAGTATCATAATATTCGTATATGCAAATACATGTTAATATTCAATTACATAATTATTTATTTATATTTTTAAAATTTATAAAAATAAAGTACTTTAACAATTAAATTTAGTTTATAAATTAAAGAATCTTGATTAATAAATTTATACATAATATTTGGTTAATTTAAATTTTGACTTCTAAAATATTATGTTTAAAAAATTATTATTAAAAAAATTTTAAAAATTATTTATTTTTAAAATAAATATTTGCGGATATTCGTAGGTATCCGCTCATTAAAAAATATATGTGGGTACGTGCTTAATAAATATCCTCATGGATATAGAGACGAGTATATGATAGATATTTATTTGATGAGATAGGGAGCGAGGAACTATTACTCATACCCATTTCGTCTCATTGATATCTCTATTTTTCATTACACGATTTAAGTATAGCTTAATGCATTATTGGTCAAACAAATGTATTAATGCTTGATTCGCATGAATCGATATAATATTTAATATATATTTATAATAAAATATAATATATTTGTCACAAATATTTATTTATTTTTAATATATAGTATGTAATTATACTTAATATTTATACTTAATATTTATAATCAAAGATTTTTTTTATGACATTTAGGTTCATAAATTTTAATTCCATTATGCAAGTTAGTTTTTTCGTTATACTTAGATACTAACTATATTTATTGAATAGTTCAATAGTTAAGTGTCAAAGTCGTAGTTATTCTTTCTCTCAATTGGTTTGTTTTCTCTCTCCTAATCACCTAATATGGAACATAATGTGAGATTTTGATATTTTTCAATCACCAATTAACATTTTTTCATGTTTAAATATTTTGGTCATAGGTTTTTTGGTTAAAATAGAAAATTGTTTTTGGGTTTTATGGATTTCTTGTAGTTGGATTTTTTTTGTCTTGGTCATCTTTACTTTCTTCATTTGTTATGGCTACAAGTTTAGGATTGTAAACTTTAAATTATTGAATTTGGAATTTAATAAATTGAGTGTTTGTTCTAAAAGATCTCAAACAAGAATGCATGAATCCAATATATGTGTTTTTACAATGTTTAATAAATTGCAAAACTCCTCTTATAGAAGTTAGAAATAACTTAATGGTAATAGTCCTCTTTGTTAACTAGAAAAAAAACTATGTATTAACATGAGAATTAACCGTTAATTAATCATGAGATTAACGAAAATTATAACAAAGTATAACAGAAAAACTAATTTATAACATAATAGGGATAAAACTTAGGGAGAGTATTATAAAAAATATTTCAAGACCTATCAAATACTTTTACCATCTTTTAAAAACTAAATTAAGTGTTTACTCATTAAAAAATCATATTAATTAATGTTCTCAATTTTTATGAAATATTAAAAAATATATATTCAGATTTTACCTCTTAATAAATATCATTGCCTTGGAATACGTACTTAATGTGTACTAGGAGGCACCCCTTCGGTCAGGCAATAGGCCGAAAGGGGTGCCCGAGCCGACGAAAACACACCACCCCTTCAGCTGGAGGACGGGCCGAACACACCTTCTCGGCCAAAGGAGGTACCCCATGACTCCTTTACCACTAGAACACCCATCAAAACCTCCCGGTATTGAGCTGGGCCGAACACCTCCTCGGCCTTGACATGAGCCGAACACCTCTTCGGCCTTGGAGAAGACCGAACACCCTTTCGGCCTCATACCTAGCCAAGGACTTCAACAAATCAAACAAACACTGCCATCAAGGACGAGTCAAACACCTCCTCGGCCTTGACCTGGGCCGAACACCTCCTCGGTCTTGACCTAGGCCGAACACCTCCTCGGTCTTGACCTAGGCCGAACACCTCCTCGGCATTGACCTAGGCCGAACACCTTCTCGGCATTGACCTAGGCCGAACACCCTTTCGGCCTCGGGGGAGGCCGAACACCCTTTCGGCCTTACGCCTAGCCGAGGACTTCGACAAAGAGCAGATCACAAACAACACGTGGCAAGTTAGATACTTATTATGCGCTAATTACCATGCCAGATTAAGAGGAGATTAAGGCTAACTCAAGTGTTACCCATCTCCCAAGACTGAAGGCCCACCAGGCCCAATTGTGTCACTATAAATACACAGGTGATGTGATATGAAAAGGTACGTTATTGTCCAATATAAAAGCACTTATTGCTCTATACCGAATACTCACTTGAGCGTTGGAGTGCCTTTGCAGGTACCCTCCCAACCCCGCGGAGATAGTATTCGGTCGGCACCGAAGACTTAGAAGATCAAGAAGGAAGAACGACAAGAGGAGTGTTTCTACGCAAGAACATTTTGGCGCCCACCGTGGGGCCGAAACCATAACGGTTCTCGACCCTAAAGCAAGATGGTAACCACAAGAAGTCAACA